CGGCAGGGCGGCCCTGTCCGTGCTATCCCCCCATAGCCTCCCCGGCCCCTTGTCCTCGCCGCCGGCTCCGCACTGGGGGTGTTTGGGGAGGGGTGTTGGTGGTGTTCCCGGTGGTCCGGGAGGGACGGACTGATGGCGCCGAGGGCCTTGCCGGTGTCGGGAGCTGGGCTCTCCCCTCGGCTGGGAGCCCCCGGCTCAATGCACAGCGGTTTCTGTGGGAGGCAGTGACATCTTGCCCCCCCTTGTCGTTGTAACCGGGCTAAGTGGTGAGCCTGGTTTTGATTCCCCCTACCCCCTCCCTGTTTAGCTCTGTAATTTCTAACTAAAGACTCCAGCAAGAGTAAATGTGGCAGAAATAAGATAGCTGCAAAATATTTTGGGGTTTTGGGGGGGGTTTTTTGGGTTTTTTTGTTTTTTTTTTTTGATATGGCAACCTCGCCTTGGAGTTCTTTGCTGTCCCTGAGGCTGCTGCGGTTGTTCTGCCCCGTGATGGGGAGGAAGGGGTGGAAAACAGGCTGGACGGTCTGTCGTGAGTGTGTGTAACTATTAGTCACATCGCTTTTTGTAGTCTTTCGTTCAGCTCCTTTATGCGTGCTAACGTGGTATGCTCCTTTGGACCTGTGCACTTTGGCTAGGTGTCTTCGAGCTCTGCATACTACTGCACATATTTCTTTCCTGAATTCTTAAGGTTAACTTAAGTGCATTCTTAAGTTAAATGCATTCTATCCTTTAAAACTTCTTTTGACTGATGCCCCCCGCTTTATAGAAGATAGCTGTGATCTAGCTGAGAATGATAAAGTGGGTTTTCAGGTCTTCTATTAGACACGTTTACCTACATGACAGTGTCCTCCTTACAGCATTTACTTTGCCAGATCGTGGACCGTGATGTGGATTTAAGTATTAAAACTATGTTGAGGGTGGTACTGATCCTTGTAGTTGTCTTTAAACTTGACGTCCCCCCCCCCCCCCCCCCCCCAATCCTTAAACTCTTGCTTTTTGTCCAACAATAGGGGTGTAGAATTTAAAAGCAGCAGCAGAGCTGGTAACAGGGAGACACTGTTACCTTCTGCCATGTTAAACTGGGTAGCAGACAGAAACCTGGGCTAAGTGCTTAGTTTCAGGTGCATAAAAAGATAATTAACTTCTTCCTCTGTAACATCCGTTTTGTTGCTATTTTCCTATGAATTTAGTTGGTTAATGTACTTTTCTCTTATAGCACCTGTCTGGTTTATTTCTATTCGCATTCATGTATCTTTTTCATGCTTCTGTTTACAATCTCTTGCCCTGTACTGCAGTAAAGCTCACTTGCCAGTGAGCTATCCTACCTACAGGGCGTCTCATAAAGAGAGGAACGTATGTACTTTGAATTTTCAGATTTCTGAGAGTATGAAAAGTTCATTTTGATAAGCATCCTTTCCAAAAGTCATGTTACTTAATATTATCATTTACCTCACCAAATCAATATATCTACCAGTCTTTCATGCTGCCTGTTTCAGAAACAAAATGTGAAGTGTAAATGTTAAGACTAAAGGTTAAAAGACCAGAATTGCTAAATTTGTTTCTTTTTACAGGCTTCTATTTCTATTTTCAGAAGGGTCACCAAACCTTTCAAGTCTTGTCATTAGCTATATTATCCTGTTTCTTTTCTTCCCTTCTTTGTATCTTTATTAAGACATATATGGTTCTAAGGACAGTCAAGGTTGCTACTGTGCTTTAGAAATGAGCTTTAGAAATTTATTTTTTTACTTCTTGGGATTCCCAACTAGCTCTAACAGTGGCACATTCTGAGTTGTGTCCCAGTATTGGTTCTGGTATGAATCTTCCTTGATGTTGTATGTGAAAGGTGCCCATTTTACATGCTATTTGAGAATTTTTTTGAGTAAATCTCATGTTCCAAGCAGCACTCTTTTAAGACATGTAGAAACTACTTGTTTTGATGTGACCTGGATATTTGAAGTATCTTGCTATTATTGTTTGATTAGTTCTGGTTGCCCCAACACTGCATACAGGTAAACTCCTGCCTAGCTCGTGTAGGTGTTAAAAATTTAAGTGAATAGTAACTGCATGTCATCTGAGCAGATTATTCTTCCATCTCTGACTCTTTGTTACATCCTCCCTAGTAAATCAAATGGGTATTATTGTGTGCTCCATAGGTATTTTAGGAGATGTTACAGAAATAGAGCAATATAACAAAAACCTGATGTCACATCTTTTATTGTTGTACAATCTGTATCATCTTTTCTGTACAGCTTCTTGTGCTGATGGTTATGCAGAGATAGCTTTAACGTTTTCATTTGATGTCAAATCAGTCTTTCAGACTTCTTTTTCATTTCTACCTATCCATGCTATGGATAAGCAGCATGGGTTTTCTTCATTTGTTTGTATTTTTTAGGTTTCAGGGTTTGTAAATGCTGGTTGAGGTCTTGCTTGCTCTCCTTATTTTGATTTAAGCTGCATCGGAAGACCTTGAGGAGAATCAGAGTGTAGAGACTCACTTCCCTTTCCTGTGAAGTGATGATAATGACACTGACCTTCTCTGCAGCTGTACTTCCCTTTGCTGTCATTTGAGGCAGATTTTAATCTAGGAGGGATCTTAAGTGTTCTTTATAATTTTCAGGCCTTTGATATGGCAGGCAACCACATCATATAATTTCTAATACATTGATCAAGTTCTATCCCAAAGTTAGGAGTCTTTGTTCCCGTTGCTGCTCCTGCAAAGCTTTTCCTCTGGATCCTCTTGAGCAGTCTTCCCTCCTCCTTCTTTATCGCTTGACTACCTATAAGTGTTAGTCATCCCCCTCATTCTTTGTTTGCTGGGCTAAACGAATTGTAAACTATTTGACGACTTTGTGTTTCTCTCCATTCATGAACATTGGACTCTAAGATAATACTCAGATCTAGTGTCTTCCGGTTTCCTAAATGGAATTTCATTAGCTTACATCAGTCTTTTTATTCCAGGTTTTCTAAAGAAAAATATTTGAATTCCATTCCAAAGCCATTGTTTCTTCCCTGTTTCTTGATCTTTTACCTTATCCTGTCCCTCTTTTCATTCTTACTGCAGTTTTATGTGGTTAACTAACCTAATGTCATGCTTGATGGCATGGTCTACCTGTGGAAATCCATTTTCTTTTTTTTGTTCTCCCTTATGTAAGGAATACCATACCGAATTGGACTGAAGGTCCTCTTCCATTTTGCCTTCTAGTGGATATTTGTAGGAAACAATACATAAATCGTGAGTAGAATGATTGTTGTTCAGTATATCCTACCAGTAAGTGGCATGCAGACTTCCAGGAATTGATCAAATCCCATTTTAAAATTACTTATGGGATTCCTCGCCAAACAAAAGAAGTATAACTTAACTGTGCGTGATGTAAAGAAGTAAACTTGATTGGTCTTAAGTCTGCTACCTAATGATTTTTATTCTGTCCTGAGTTGTTCTTTTGTAAGACATAGTCATTGTTCCTTCTCCTTTCAATTTTTCACACCATTCATGACTCTCTAATGCTCTACCATATCTTAACCCTTTAGCTGTTTTTTCTTCCAAGTTGAAAAGCCTAGTGTAACTACCTTCTTCTCACACAGAAGCTTTTTCCCCCTCTCCTTCGCTTGTTCTGTATCCTCTTTGAGATGAGGTGATGATACTACATGCAGTATTCAAGATGTTGATGCTCGAGAGATTATGGTGGTATAAGTGTCTTCCTCTGTGTGTGTGTGTATGTATGGTGTTCCAGTTTCTGATGATGTGTTTACTTTTGAACTGCTGCTGAGCTGATGTTTCCAGATGCTTTTCCATAAGGACATGAAGATATTTGCTGGCGATAGCTAATTTGGGGCTCATTAACCCCATGTGTTTGGGGAAAAGGAGTGCCTATAGTGCATTATTCTGCTTTTATTGACACTGAACTTCATCTGCAGTTCTCAGTAGCTCTTTCTGCAGTACTCTGCAGCCAGCATAAAGTGTTGCTGTCATAAGTAATCTTGCATAATCTGTAAACTTTTGCCCCTCTTACAATTTGTTCTTGTGGTATCTTGCTGGTAACATTCCTCTAGTGTAGAAAAAAACTTTCAATTTTCACTAGTATTGCTTTTTCAAAATCAATTTATTAATAAAGAGGACTTTTCCCCGGTTCCATTATATCCTGATTTCTTTGAGACTAATTCCCAAAGAATCAGGAATTCTTCCACCCGCGGTGGCCGTATCAATTTCATGTCTGTATCTTGCTTTGGTTCCTAGTTTCAAAATCATCCTTACTGAAAGCAGAGGTCAAATACAAATCTAGTTTTGGAGATAAATATAATATTTTGAAAGGCCTGAACATGCATGCGTTTTTATCAGCTTTAAATTTAGTTTTATTCTTGTCTTTCTCAAAAAATCTCAGTGTGACTTCTGGCAGCTTTTGCTCTGTAGTCCAGTCAGTTGATTCTAGGAGGCATTCAGGAAACCACAATGTGAAAAAAAAGTGACTCATGTATAGAAATGGCAACACCTTCCTTTTGTGGTCAGCTCTGAGAAAACCTTCTGTGTAGTTCTCTATTTAGTGTTGTTTCCTACTGGATAGGACACATAAGCAAATCGTGCAATGGCTTGTGACTATCACAGATCTCTGCAAAATTGTTGAAGCACATAGCAACGCTGTACAACAACTTGATGAGATACAAGATGTGACTATTCAAAGGATGTAGTGAGAAGGAACATGAAACTGTTTTGATGCTGTATAGATTTGTAGGCTGGTAAGGTATTACCAGGAAGGGTCTATGAGAATGGTACAGTTTTCGTATAGGATTGCAATTATGCGCTATCGTGTATTGATTCTCTTTGAGGCTATTATATAAATAGTCTTGGGACTAAAAAGTAAGTGCTAGGGATGCAAACTCTAGGTGAATGCTGGAATACTGGGGGGAGAGGAGAGCTGTGTAGCCACTGCTGGGAGGGGTGCATCATGTAAATTTTGCAGCTGCAGGGATATTTGTTAACTTTCTGTTTCTGTATTCTCTTTCAGCCGCGTTATCCTGCCTGTGTCTGTGGAGGAGGTAAGTCCTTTTCGCCTTGCTTCCTTTCTTTAGGACTGTAGATAAACTTGTCATCAAAGCAGTTTGTATGAACAAAAACTGGAAAACTTAAGAGAAGGATATAGCTGTCTTCAGGACCCCTGTGAGCTGTTACTTATTCACCATCATTTTGACCAAATAATTGAATTTCTTTAAGCCTGAGGGTACTGATTCTCTCTTTTATAAAGTACTTTCAGATACGTTGATTACAAATCTTGACTTGTCAGACCGTTCTAAAGTGCAGTTTCCTTTTGATTAATACTATTGTTCTTTTCTATATTTTTTTAACATGAAGAGGAAGCTTTAGTACAAATTTAAATTACCTTTTAATCTTTGTTTTGCCAGAACACTTCTGTTTTAAACCTTTAGACAAAGACCAACAATTTCTTCTGATTTGTGAGGCTGGTATAGCAAAAGAAAGGTCGTGTGTATCTTTGCTAGTACTCTTTAAGACCTGTCTTCTCTAGCTCTTACAGAAGGAAAACTTTCTTTTTGTTTAGGTAAAGCTGTAATTGAGAGAAGAAATGTAGTTTGTAATGGACGTGGTGATTTTGATCACCAAACTGACTGTGGAATAGCTGTGCAGAGTCTGTGGCTGATTCTCTGCTGTTTTCTCTGAGTTGCAGCTTGCCTTCTGCAGTGAACACCACTCTTGCAGAAAATCTGAGAATCTGAAATATTTTCAATTTTTTAACGTTCATACTAGCAGGGCAGATTAAAAATTGAAATGACCAAGTCTATAGCACTTCTGTAGTAGATCCTTCTTCCAGATGTATTTTTTTTTTTCTTTCTTGTGATCCTTGACTGTAAGCCGTAGGTTTGTAGGCTCTGATCAAGGGCTTGTTCTAACTTGTAGGAAGAGCTATGATAACAGCATTCCTGTTCATTTTTTATTTCCCCTGAATATAGCAGCTACTGTGGCATAGACAGTGGTGAGCTAGATCATGGCAGCACTGTTTAAAGCATATCCCTTTTATAACTGTCTACTCTTTTGACAGAACACAGTTTAGAACTTGATATAGTGTATTCCTGCAGCCACGAGGCTGGCTAGTAAAAGAAAAGCAATGTCTAAGCTGAGTTGCTTGTTCCTGTGGATCAATCTGCTGTGACAAGCATCACGTGCTGACAGAAAGCCTAGACATCTGATAAGAGAGTGGTTTTAGGTCTATATTCTATGTTGGTGGAAGAATGAGGCTGTTAATGCCAGAAGTCTGTCTGTCACTTACTCCTTACCTGTAGCTTATGTGCTTTCTGCATGAATCTGTTTCAAGCAGTTTTAACAGAAGTCTGACTAAAGTATTGGAGTAGGTATGTTTGGATCTTATTATGCCCGAGTGCTACTTGTAGGGGGGATTCCTTGACAAAAAAAAAGGACTATTGTGATAAGCTTTATCAAGTAAGCAAAGGATGCATACTTGCAAGTTAGAGAAAGCTAGGAGTAAACGGTAAGGTACTCCAGAGCTCAATAAACAGAAGACCTTAGCCTGAATAACAGGAGCCCTGCCTCATATATCTTGTAGGTATCAAGTGGTGTAAAGAGAAAGTCAAAGCATCAGTATACAGATTGTTTCTTTGAGGGGGTTAGACTGGATGGAACCCAGCACGGGGTTTTTCTGAGTTCACTGATACTAGGATTAACCTTCATCCAGTTAAAGCGAGTCCCTCTTTTCCCTCCCTGGCTGGATGTTCAGTGCCAGGCATGTTTGAGCCTTGTGCGTAGGTGGCCTGTGTGGAAAACTGAGGTTTCAGGCAGTATGTAAATCTGTGAGTCTCTACCTACCTCCTTGTCTGAGGATACCTTGGGCTCATCTGTTTCAGAAGGTGTATTCCTCTCCTCTGGATCGGAGGAGTTCCAGAGAGTTGAGTAACCTACTGAAAAGTCTATAAAGTGAAGAGCAAATAAGCATCATTTGAATAGAAGGAATGAAAATACTAGAGAGAACACCTTAATGTGCTTCGATTGTGGATAGACTGCCAACCTGACTGAATTTAATTTCTCCCCAAACTTGCATATTGTCACCATGTCCCCCGAGCGATGCCCCATTTCAAAACTGGTGGTTCTCATGTGATAGGCCAGATTTCAGGAACCAGTTCCCTAAGTGGAAAGACTTCTAAAGTTTGCTTCTCTTTGTATATGTACATATGTGATGTGGTAGTTTTAAAGGTATGCTTAAGAAGAAAGGTTATTTCCAATATTGACTCAAAGGATGACTACTGCTTTGAGTTTGCGTATTGCTTCATCCCCCTTCCTGTGTGGAAAGATGCTGACACATCTGTGCATCACTTGGTCACTGCACTGCTGTCTGTACTACATAACAGCTGTTAACTGCATTGCTTTCAAGGATTTACTTGTGCACAAAACTCTTAAATAGGGCTCTGGAGACTTATTGTGGCTCTTCACCGTGTATCTGCTCATTGAGCATCTCTGGCTAGCAAGAGTACTTCTGATTTCACTTTAATATGGGCAATTTTTGCTTGAAAGACTTAAGAGTTCACACCTTCTGTATGCAAATTGTTGCCAAAAGTCTGATGCCAATGCAAAAGATAGGGAATGAAATTAATTATGACTTTGAGGCATTGTAATAAGGCTGAGGGAGTCTTCTGTGATGCTGGGGATTCTGTGTTCAGTCCCCTTACCCCTAGCAAATGGAGCTTAGCCAATAGTAAGGAATTCAAGAGAAAAACAGTTATCAGGAAGACATTGGGAAGGTATGACTTAATGAATAAAGAGATCGGTGCTGAATTGTTAGCCAAGTAACTGCTAAGATGAGAGCAAAACTGTGGAAGAGAAGCCCTGGTGATGACTAAAACTTGAAGGCTGGGATGTAGGAGTTAGACTGTAGCAGACTGTCTTCTGCTAGGAAACTCTGCCAAAATGTGGTCCTGCTCAAGTGCAGGCTGCAAGCTGCGCTCCTGTGTTCTTTTATACATGGTCGCACTGCAGGCAGCAAAAAGAAAAAAAAGACCCTTATTGTATCTTAGGTGTTAACCTTTACTCTTGTGCTCTGACCAACATCACATTGCACAGTGCCAACTTTGAGAGCGTGGACTTGAGTGGCTGCGTGGGTGTCTTGCCAGCTGCCTTTGAAATGCTGGTATGGATTAGAGCTGTGTGTACACATTCTGTGCTGCCTCTTTGTTCCTCTCACATGGGAAGGAGCTTGCCAAACACAAAGGACTCTTATTAATTGTGTTCAAAGCTGCTTTCAGGAAAATAATCGTTCTTGAAGATAGCTACATTGAGATCAGGCCTTCTGAAAGAAGTTTGGTGTAATGAAGATATGCTGTCAGCTGTATAAAAGGTGGTGTGACACAGATCAAGGGGGATAACTTCTTGCACATGAGAAGGTTTTTGAGAGCTCTCAGGTCTGCAAGGATAGGTCTATCTGATGCTTTGGGCCTCATGGAGCCAGAATCTGTTTTTCTGTTAACTTTTGCAGGCAGATGCTATGGGATTTGTTCATTGGGATGATTTTATTTGGGCCTTTTCCTCTTATCAATGCGATTAAAGGATCAGAAATAACAGGGAAGATTAAATAGTGAAGATGCCAAACCAAAGGGCTTATCCTCTTAGTGTCTGACCTTTGACCCACATATTTAAAAGGGAGAAGGAATGAATGAGAGACTGTTACTAAGAGGAATTAGTTTGTGCCCCTGCAGACCTGTCCTGAGACTTGCTGCAAAGCAAAGCCATTCAGTCCTCCCCTTAAATGCTGTAGTTGCCAAACTTATCATAAGTTCTCTTCTATATGAGGGTACGTGTGGCTCCTACTCTACTAAATCAACTTGCTTCTAAGATTTCGCAACTCTCATGTTTTGCTCTTCTGGAGAGAGGTGAGTATTCTGTTTTGTATGGGTCATGTGTAGGGAGTCATAAGGAAAGCAACGTAGTGTATGAAATGTCAGAAGGCAGAGAGTTGTATTGCAGCCCAAAATCCAGACTGAAACCCAACCTGCGGTGACAGCGCAGAAACTGTCCAGCCAAGTGAGGGGTCCTTGTATAACCTGGGCCAGCATCTTCTGGACAGACCCAGCAGAGCTGTTGCTTTTACCTTGAATGTGGTCTGTAGATTGTTTTTCTTATAGATTACTTTTACTCTATGGCTCTTTGGTTTGTTTCGTTTTCAGGGATAGTATAAAAGGTAGTTAGGCTTACTTAATATGTCCATGTGTTGAACGTGAGACTGTATGGAGCACTTATTTAAATCCCTCTGGTATGCTTTTTGCCCTGCCCCAGATTAACTGAGGCCAGGACATCTAGCCTCATTACTTTGGCTTACCATCTACTACTCTTCCAATAGGAATAAATGTTTTCTTCTTCTCTGTTAGCACCAGATGGTACAAAACACCATAGACTTTAGGTACTGTTTTTATTTTGGATGCTCTGACAACAAAATTTAACCACTGTAGAAATTTTCCTTCGTTGCTAAAGATGTACCAGCCTGGTGAAGTATTTCTGGGTTGTCAGCTTGGAGCAGTATTCCAGTTTTCCAGTCTGGGTTTCAGTGTAGGGAGTGGTAAGTGCTATTTGTGATTCTGATGCACAGCCCTATGCTGGGGAAAAGGAAGAAGGCCTAAACAGTGTTCCATTGCTTTGTAGTTATGTTTTGGGGTTTTTGGTGTTTTATTTTTTTAATCATTGCACTTCTGATACCTAACACTTTGTGAATTACCCTTTCAGACCGCCTCTCTGAACTGCCTTTAGCAACAGTTGCTGTTTTGCCTTCTTTCAGTTCTGAAGAGTTAACCCTGTTAAGTTTGAACACCTCCTTTTGACTTAGCGCTTTAGATTCATCCTCAAACCTTGTCTGCTCATCTGATTTTGCCTCAGAGGCCTGTGTGAATTTTTTTTTCACTTGATCATATTTCTTTTGAGCTCTGCATCCCCTTTTTCAGCTACCAGAGGCAAGCGTGTATTAGTCCTTACATCTTCTGCAGAGGAGAATGTTCGGTCTTGTTCATATTCTTGATTTTCCTCTGCTCTTCCCTGCGAAACATTTGGGCATGCTTATTATGAAAGAGATTGTCTAGTATGAAGTAGTTTAAGTGATTCCTGGGAAATGATGCTGCCATTTTGTCAAGAAAACACCCATGAAGTTCTTTGGGATTCTTCTGAACGAAGTACTGTATGCTTATTAGTTTAGGAGTGGCAATACATTATTCTCCATTTGACCTGAACAACTGGGACACCTGTGTGGCAAAAAGATTGAAAAACAATGGATTTTGCTACTGTATGCATGAGGTCATCTGCATCCTCTTAAATGTTGTCCTGATATTCCTTTAATATGTTTTACTTTATCCTGAATTTGTGTTGGTTTGGAGCTTGAGATTTAAGGGTTAAAGGTAACTATCCTATTGGCAGTGCTTTCCTCTTAACTACCACTCAAGCTTTCTGTATCAAAATGAAATTAAATGAGCTGCTTATCTGGACACACAAGTGGATGTCCTTTTCTCTGCCTTCTCCCCAGATAATAAGTTTATCCTTGGCTTCTGGTAAAGTTATTATAACTTCTGCTAAATTATAGCTCTCACAATAATGTGTCTTTAACTTCTTTAGTATCAAGTGGGACAGCTGTATTCTGTGGCAGAAGCCAGTAAAAATGAAACTGGTGGAGGTGAAGGAGTGGAGGTCCTGGTTAACGAACCCTATGAAAGAGATGGAGAGCGTGGGCAGTACACACACAAGATCTACCACTTACAGAGGTATGTGAAACATTTTATTACCAGAGTCGGGCAGGGTTGCTTGGGCTAGAGGAACTGGAGGGAGATGCAATAGGGTTGCAGTGACTGTGTAAATCACCGATTATATAAAGGCTGAAAGACATGGAGGTAAGACAGGAGTGTAACAGTACCTGGCACATGGTACAGCTAGAAGTGAGCATCACTGGTACACCTGTGTGCCCCTGTAAGTGTGGCTGTTGTCCCAAGAAAATCTGTCTCTGAGCTTTTCAAAGCAAATATAATTCCACCCAGTATTTTGATACATGACTTTGGCTAAAGAGCAAAATGCTTCCTAGATTTCAACCTGGTTTCAGCCTCCTTTTTTTTTCTTCTTTTTTCTTTTCTTTTCTTTTATTACATTAGGAAGGTCTAGATTAGCCTGTCCAATTCATCAGTCTCTGGAAATCATCGTACTGGGGGTGGGGAGAACCCCACCAATTCTACCAATGTGCATGTTTGCAAAACTCCAGTGTCTGCATTTCTGGTGATATTCTGCCTGTCTTGGAGTGTCTGGGCCATAGCTCTTGTTACATATAGTTCTTATCAACGCCTTCCTTCTTATTTCCAAATTCTGCAGCAAAGTGCCAACATTTGTGAGAATGTTGGCCCCTGAAGGAGCTCTGAATATACATGAAAAAGCATGGAATGCTTATCCCTACTGCAGAACTGGTGAGTGCGTGGGGAAGGACTGGGGATTGCTGGCTTTTTGGTTTCTTGGGGACAGAGGCAGGGTACGAGGGGATAACGAAGGAGGCAACCAGTAGGGAAGCTGTTCCAGCTCTTACCTTAGATTTCTGTCTTATAAGCTCTTTCTCTGGTCAGGAAAAGCAAAATACAGTGTTGTGGAGTTAAAAATACCCTTGTCTGATGTGCTGCTTATGAGTGACAGTGGAAGAGAACAGACCAAGAAACGGATGTTAGTCCTACTAAAGGAACAGACGTGTAACACGAGTGAAATAAATGTATGAGGGATGATTTTATGTATTCAAGCACAGCATAGCATGGTGGGGAAAAAATGGAAGCTGCAAGAAGGGAACAGGGAAGATCTTCATTGCCTCTTGCTTACTGCAGTTTGATGGGAGCAACTGTTACGGGATTACTATTTGCTCAGTTGCAGAATCTGAGGTTAGTAAAGGTTGAACAGGTAATGCTACAGTTGCTTCTGGGTTGTGGGCTTGACACAGATATCCAAATCTCATCCAACAAGCCTAAAGTGAATCCATCTGTAAAGTCTGGGGTGAAGCTCTGGAAGCTGTGCAAAGTGGTGACATAACATCAAACTCATTTTTTACAGGAGCGTTTAGTATCTTATTTACTTACTGAAGTTATCAGCCACAATGTTTAACCACTACTGTTTTTGTGGTCTTTGTTGCTGTGGGAACTGCAAATTTGACTTTGCCTCCAAATTTATGTAGTATTTTTGGCTGTGTTTTATGCTGTTTGTATCTTTGAAGGATACATTTTCTGCTATTTGGTAGTCGTACAGTTGCTGTGGAAACTGTAAACTTAAAAATTCCAACTGTTCTTGAAAATATAGAAAAACTTATTTTTTAACAATTTACTTAGGAGAATTTTAAATGAAGTGTTTTAAAGACAGAAAAATATTTGCAGTGGGGGAGGATAACATTACTTCAGTACGTGAAATTACATGCAGCAGTCTAGTGGAATGGTATTTCAAATACAAAATTCAGATATTGTGATCATCAACTGCAGAATAAGTTTTTAAAGTGTCACATAATTCAAGATGCTGAAACAAAGTTATTTACAACCTGTCTTTCTCTTTTTATGCAGTTTCCTTGCTGCATATTAGTTAAATTAGCTAATAAATGTCTAGTTTATTGCCATGTTAAGTACTCTAAATTGGTTTAAACTCAAACAGTTCTTTCATTAATTCTTCAACTTTAAATTGTGGAAACAGATCTGACTAAGTTGACTGCAGTAGGTTTTGTCAGACATAATGCATAGCTATATCTTCCTCCTGTTTTTCTTCTCCACCGATTTCTGAAACAAAGGTACAGAGTTAGCTTGTTTTGTCACCCTTATCTGCTTATCCTTCAGTTACGCACTGCTAAAATTCTACTTAAGTGGAAAAAATGTGATACTAAAATCAAGTACCAGGCTTTGCACCACAGAAATAAAGAAATTTCAGGTTTTGGTATGCTAGAAATAACATAACAAAAAAAAAAATCCTCAACTGTAATAAACACCAATATAATATGAGATAGAAAGTGCTTTGTTGTGGGGGTTGGAGCAGAAGGCAGCTTTTATGCGGAGGCTGACAAATCTGTTTAAAGAATCTGCCAGCCTGACGTGAGTCAAGAAAAGCTCAGAAAAGTTGCTGAAACCTTCACTTGCTAGTACTGGACAGGAGGGAGGAACCCATGTATGTGCTGTAGGCTGCCTTGTGCCTTATCATTTTACTTTGGGACGCGCTCAGATATTTTGGTTGTGTGTGAGAAGACTTGGATGACCTCACATGAATCTTTGTGCAACACAACAAGCCATGCTGGCTTTGAGTCCTCTCACTTAGAGTTTCAAACTTAAGAGCCAGGGACACAGTAAGAACTAAACCCGGTTTGACTGTGTAGGAGTTAGTGCTACTTCTGCCTGTGCCCTCCTGTACCAAGGTGATATTAGTGTGCTGCTCTCTGGACCACTGCTTATTTGCATATCAGCTATCACATAGAGCCTTTTAAGTTTGAATAAAGCAGTACTTTTAGTTAACTGTGCATCATCGTAATTTTTTTTTAATTATACGAGATTATCCTTCTTACCTTTCCCTGTATCTCCACTGAGAAGCTCAATTATTACTTTAATATGCATATTATATACCATTATCAAAGAATCGCTGCAGGTTGAGGGAATTGCAATGCCTAGCTTATCACTTCCTGCGATTTTGCAACTTGTTTGTGCTGTAATATGTTGGTTTAATGTACTTTGAATGGAAGCCTTGCTTTTCTCCTTTGAGAGTATGATCTGTAAATGAGATTGTTGTACGTATTTACAACTTCTACCGTAGAAATGAAGTGAGGATTGCCTAATAGTTATAACTGTGGGCTGGTGCCAAGGAGAACAGTTGTCTTAGTTCTTTTCTGCAGTCTGACTTAAGTATTAATGTTGCTTAAATGTTTTTAGAAAAGCAATTTCATGTGTGTTCCACTCTTCTGGGTGTCAGCATGAATGCCTGCGGCCAAATGTCAAGAAATTGAGAAGTTAGAACTGCAGCTGAAATGTGTAGGAGTTGCTGCTGTAACACCTGAAGTGCAGGCCATAATTTGTAGCAAGCTGAGCATCTAAATTTTAATGGCCGTTTCTAAAGAGATTAATTTGTTTGCTTTACAAATGAGGAGTCTTCCCCACAAAGAAGAAATTAAGAAGGTGAAGAAACTTGTTTTAAGGCAGCTGTGTAGTCATGGTGCATACTCATGGAAAAGCAGTTTGTCATGGGAAGGTGGGAGGGCTCTGATTTATAATTACTGCTGGTTTATTCAGTATTTTGTGTGGACTAGCAGGAAAAAAACTCCTTGCAGAAATAATGAAATGTTCTTTGAGATGAAAGTCAACCTTTTAAAAATTAGCCTCAGCTCTGCTTGCGTGTTCTCTCCCTCTTCCACCCCAACATGTCAGTCTAAATAATTAGCCTTCTGTAAATTACTGTAAAAAGCAATTTTCAAGTTGTTAGGGGTTTAGAGCAGTCCAAGGCCCAGCAGTAGGCAATTAAGGTAACTGGATGTGCATGTTAGATGATAAGGGATGGTACTGTCTGCAGGGCGTTGGGTTGGAAACTCAAGAATTGTAATAGTACCTTTAAAACAAAATTGCTTCTTATTAAAGCCCTCATGTTAAACTTCAAAACAAACCAGCAAAGTTCAACTCTAGCTTCAGACGTCCTTATTCTTAGAGTAGAATTGCTAGCATACTCTGATGGCTCAGGTAGAAGAGATGCTGACTGTTACAGGATCTTTAATTGCTTTTCTGTGTTGAATAATTGAGCCTTACTATCCAGGGAGTTTAGTTACCATGAGCAGTAGAGATGCAGAGGGTCTGGTTACTGCATGCAGGAGCGATGAGGTCTGCACTGGCCTGAAATCCAGCATGTGTTTGCTTCAGAACTACAGAGAGGTTTCTTATCTGCAAGCTGAGAAAGGATTGGTAAAATGCCGTCAGCTGAACATACTTATTCCATCTTCTCATCCAGCTGGCCGGAGTCCAGAGAGCAGAAGTGGCAGTACATAATTAATTGCTGCTCCACTGAGTTTCTCCAAGTCTGAGAATATCCAGAGGAGAAGGGGGTGAAGCTAGCTGGTTTTTATCGACTTCTAGGGCTTTTTCCTCTGTAGTATCAGCAGTCCCCTGGGAAGCTGAAGTTGTCCCTGTTTTGCTGATAGTGGGAGGAGGGCGATGGGGGCTGTACATTCTTTTTTTCACTAAAGTACTGTATCTCTTTCTTTTCATGTGTTGATTTCTTGGACCAGTTATTACAGTAAGTATTGCTTTTACTGACGATCTATGGAAGCATGTGTAATGTCTGAAATGAAGTGTCCTGGGTATAAGAAATGCTTTAGCCTGAGCTAAAGGCACTTTAGCTTTTGTCATTGTAAGATCGTGTAGACTAAACCTCTTACCAACAGTGGTGTATCCACAAACACTTGGTAACTAGGGACAGAGATGCTTTCTTTACTGCAGCAATGCTCAGCTTTACAAATGGGAATGTCTAGATAAACTGATTAAAAGAAAGTTAGCTCATGCCATTATGTCCCTTTGAGTAATCTGTCTTCTGAAATTGCTATTTCCTTTTTACATGCTCAGTGTTTCACTGGCTTGTGCTTTTGTTTGTACTCCCTTGAGGGAGGATAGGGTTACCTTTGGAAGTCCTTTTCTACTCACAGTAATAATGAGAAATGGAAAGTTTTTTTGCTTACTTGGCAGAACTGTGCTTCTTGTCCCTTCCCTTTCCAGTGTCCAAAGCCCTAAACGCATCAGTTTTAATATTGTTGTTCATTTGAAGAGTTGCATCCAAATACGTACTCTGTGTTAGAACAATAATCTCTTTGAAAAGACAGTTTCTACCTAGTTAACTTAGGTTATCCCTTCAAAACTCTAGAGTGGCAGATATTGTCCTTTAAAGAAAAAGCTATTCATAAACTCTAAATGTCTCACTAAAACAATGGAACTTATGTTTTTTCAGTGAACAACTTGTGGTTTATTTGATCTTGCATTTTTAGTGATCAAACAATTTTGCTAAAAGCAATGATATGTTTTCAGATAATTCTGAAGTTCCCTAAGTAAAACCCCAATCGAGTTATAATTCTTTGAGTTGCCTTTCCTAATGCTTATCTAGTTAATAAGATGACAAGTTATATATCCAAAGTATAACAAGAAGCTTTATTTTAATGACAGAATGAGTATATGAAGGATGACTTCCTGATCAAAATTGAAACCTGGCATAAATCAGATCTTGGAACACAAGAGAATGTAAGTACTCATGTCGTGTATTTTATTCATCTCTTAGAGGATTGCTGTGTGGAACTGTCTATTTGCTGCGTTCCTGGATTTGAAATGCTTATTGCACTAGCAAGGCAGAGACTCCCTCCTGTTGGCTTTTCATATATGCTGAATAAAATTGTCCCTCAAACACTTGTTCTGTATGAGCACCTTTGCTTCTTTAGAAGATCTTGTATTGTGTGTTTACCATGGTGTCCTCTCTGTATGTGGAAGGGGAGCACTGGGTGTCTGCATCTCCATCTGTTTTTTTACGATCTTAGAATGGGAGTGTTCTGTAGTCAAATCAGTTAAATTAGTCTTATACTTTCACTGCAGGTTCATAAACTGGAGCCAGATGTATGGAAGAATGTAGAAGCTATTTATATAGACATTGCTGATCGGAGTCAAGTACTTCCCAAGGTATGGTAGGTGGGTAAGAGCTACCTAGTGTGGGAGGCCTTGTGCTAAAGGAGGGATAAGGTACAAACTGTGTTCCAGGGATGGTCACAGGTAACAGGAGAAATGAGAGGATGGGAAGAGGAGGAAAGGCATTCCTTAAAAGTGTTTAAGCAAGCTAGAGGAAGAGCTCTTTTAAAAGCTATGTCAATGCTGTCTGTAAAATGCCTCGCTTAGCCTTACAGTACATGTAATGCTGTATATATGTAGTTCTACAGCACTGCAGCTGATTATAATGCTTGAATAGCAAGAAATGGCACTGCCCTTTCTGTACAGGATCTTTTTTTAAACTGCCTCCTTTTTGAAACTAACCCATGGCTTCACAGGTGTATCTGGAAATCATGTAGCTAATACTTCCTTCTAAGAATCACCGCAGTTAATGTAAGAACCTAAGGGATGTTTTTATACTGTACTGGAAAAAAAACCCCAACTATATATAAAAGTGGAATGTTGTTTGAATTTCCCCACATAGTAATTCTGATAACATTCAAATATGGCTAATTTACCTGTTGTCAAACCTGGCCTTGGGTATTAAACCAGAACTAGTACTTATTTTAGCTTTTCTTTCCAATAAAGATGAATTAGTAGAACATGAATAGCATCTGATTCTGATAGGTTAGGCAGGTACTAAGCTGTATCTGCAAATATAAACTACTCTGAATTAAATGCTGTCAGAGAGGAAGGAGAATTCACATGGAGCAGAAGACTCCTGAAGAAGATGCTACCAATTGATCACTTTCAGCACTAAACCAACAATGGCTTGAGTTTGTTTTCATTTTAATTGAATTGGGGGTAGGAGTAGAGTACACACCCAAGTCTTAATGCAAGATGCAGGAGGGGAATGCTGCAAATTATTTCCTGTGCAATAGGCGGTATAACTGGTGACTTTTTTTTTTTGGTGGTACTGTGAGTTTGACTGTACTTGTCCTCCAGTGTGGAATATGTGAGCATCATACTGATAGAGTGCTGGGAAAAATACTAGATACCACAGCTCCACAGAGCATAGCTATTTTCTGCAGCAGCAGTGTTTAGCTCCCAAAGAACGAGTGGTTACAGGAAACCTATCCTGAGGGTTTACAGGTCTTCTGATAGTCTGACCCCAAAGGAATCCTTACAAAGGTCATATCAGTTTGTTACCACTTCTTCACATAGGTCTAGGACACAGCACAGGGGGGAGAAATATGTTTCCTTGAAGAATGCCTGACCTAATGTTGAAGTCTGAAACCAGTAGCTCTTAAGAAGGCAGTTAGAGGTTAGTCTTTGTCCACCAGAAAAAGAAATCCTTTGTGACAGTGAGCAGCTGGGTAACAGTAGGGTAATTTGTGTTTAATCTTGTGCCCTATATGTCCAATAGGATTACAAGGCAGAAGAAGATCCAGCAAAATTTAAATCTGTCAAGACTGGACGTGGACCGCTGGGTCCCAACTGGAAGGTATGTCTTGCATGAGTTCAGGATCTGTTTCAGCTTGCATGAACGAAGTATAGATACTGGAGCTTGGAGCCAAAGGTAAAACATTGGATTCGCTTCTGTAGAAGGAAACACAGAACTTAACCGGTGATCTGCTCTGAAGTTAAAGGAAATGGAAGAGTTTGGTACAAATGGGTAGAGTGAGTTCCAAGAAATCGCTAGAGCTGTCTGGTGTTCAGCCCAAGGATTCACCCAAGAGAACCGAAGGATGAAATAGCTGAGTTATGAGCAGCAGTATTTAACCTTTCACTTAAATCCTTGGAATCTGAAGATTCTAGAAATGGAAATATGATACCAGTCTTTAAAAGGGACCCTAAATGGGATCTGGGGAGCTACGAGTATCCAAGTCTGATCTCTAGCACGCAAATGTAGTAGAAGATGAGGCTGATGTGATTCATTTGGGAAGAGTGGATATGGATGCTGTAAAAGGAAGTAGGAAAGTCCACCATACGAACCTTGTGGAGTTTTCTTTAAGGCTGGATAGTTATGTGGATGACTCAGATGATATAATCTATTTCCAAAATGTTTTAGATAGGGACTTTGTCAAAAGACTTTTAAGGAAACTAAGTAGCCATGGCATAACAGTGAAAATACTGAAAGACATAAATTTAACAGGATTAAAAATGGAGAACCGAGGAGAGGAAGGAATGGATGATTCTCAAAATGGAAGGAAGGCCACCTGTGGAGGAAATTAGTGTCTACTTTCATCATGCTCTTAGGGGTGAGCAAAGATGTGACAAAACTTGTCGATAAAAGATAGGCAAGGTGTAAGGATGCAAAACGATTTTGAGGAATTGTGGAAAGACTTCAGAGTTACGACTGAAGGAGCTGCTTTCCTGGAGGCATTTGACCTGTGTCCTGATGTGAATATCTTGGTGTCTTTGCAGAAGGAGCTGGGGAAACAGACAGATTGTCCATACATGTGTGCTTACAAACTGGTAACAGTCAAGTTCAAGTGGTGGGGTCTGCAAAATAAAGTTGAGAACTTTATACAGAAGGTAAGTGATCTCTTTGGTGGGGAGAGATGCGGAAATGAGGCACGTTTCATCTCCCATCTGCTTTAGCACATCAACTTCTAACAGCGTATCCTGCCTGGAGATACTAACTTGAAACCCAGTCATGTCACCTCAGGCGATACAGTCAAGGCCTCTGCCTGATACATTGCAGCCAATTAAAGCTGGATTCAGTTTGCTGCTAATCCAAGGGCAGGCTGGGCTGATTGTTCTGTGAATTGGCTGTTGAACTGTTTTCACTTCAATGTGCAAAGGTAGACTGGCTGTTTTGCATTTAGTAGATCAGCCTGAGAACTGCAGCCATTTGGTAGTTGATTTGTGAACTATGAGATGATGCGTGTGTACTAAGGTTATTTTGGTCAGGGGCAAGGCATGTTTTTGTGGGAGATAGCTAAACTTCTGTTATCTGATCCTCATCAGCTGAGGATCTTTCTGGCAAGTCCTAGAGCTCTAGTCATGTTTTCCTCTCATAGTCTGCTGCTTGAAAAACCTGTGTTAAAAAATAAGCAGATGGTGGGGAAACTTCATTAACTTAAGACATGAGTAATTGGTATCCTGAAAAGAGCTTTTTCTGTGGCAGAGGTCATAACCCATGAACTGCAGCAGGATGCTAGACCTGGGAATCAGTACATGCAATTTTCCAGGCAATGCCATGTTCATAAAATGCCTATGACTTCAGATCATGGAGACTTTTCAGTGGTTAATACTGATAAAACTACAGTGCTGCTTCTGCAAAAGCAATTCGTTGGTGATATAATCTAAAGAGAACTCGAAGGTGGCATGAACATGCTGCTGCAGGATTTCAAATACCTGTAACAAAAGCCCTGAACAAAGCAGTGTCTTGAATCCCTTTCTCTATATGAGTGTCTCTTCAGCTACATGTTTGCGTCAAAGTAGTCGAGCTGCTTTTGATGAGAGCAAGTTATCAGATGTGAAACCATAATTGGTAAAACTGAAGTGTCCTTCCTTAATGAGAACTTTCCAAGAGGCATTGTATACCCCTGTCTAATATAATGATTTTTGTCTAGTTTATCTCTTATAAAATGGAAATAAATTGCTCCTACCTTGAAGTAGCTTGTGCGCGTGCTAAAAGGTTTTCAGCTGTGGAAAACAAGTTTAGGCTTTTTTCAGGTCACTGCAAAAGGAAAAAACAAGATAGGTACATGTCAACCCTTTACACTTGCTAACTTCCAGTTTTTTGCAAGTCAAGGATTATTTTAAAAATAATTTTATTCTGTTTCACTTTTTTTCTGCACCTTCAGGCCAACTGTCATGCTCTAAGTAAACCCAACCTGGACCACTTTATTCAGTCAGAACAATACTGTCAAATCAAAGGAAATTAATAAAGCATTCACTAATTCTTTCAATGCACTGTGCAGGCTGCTGTCTAAGCTTTAAAAAAATGCATTTCTCTGGGGATTCGAGGCTCTAGATATTCTGTTAAAAGAATAAAAATTAGCTAGCTCCAGTTTCCAATTGTGGCAGCTATATAGAAACGTGGATGAGGGAGCTGATTCTTCAGTGTACACATCTCTGAAAATTGTTATGATCCGGTTAGATCCATATTAATTGTCCTATGAGTAAGCTCGCTTGTATGTTTTATTCCTCCTCCTTTTGCAGCAAGAAAAGCGTCTCTTCACAAACTTCCATCGGCAGCTCTTTTGCTGGCTTGATAAGTGGGTTGATCTGACTATGGAGGACATTCGTAGGATGGAGGAGGAGACCAAGAGACAGCTGGATGAGGTCAGTGGAAAAGCAGGGCAGGTGTGGGTTGTGTGAGAAACTGTTTCTATCCAGTAAAGTAGAGAGAGGAGACTGCTGCATTGTCGTAGCATTGTGTGTATTGTCCACCTGCTATTTAGGTCATGCTGCTTGTGGTTTGAATGACTGGCTATGACTGTTGTGCTGGCATCTCCTAATCATTATGGACTTCTGTTTGTTGTTGGGCCAATACATGCATTGTACCACAGGTAATGAGGGTATGAGTAGCAATGATTCATTTACTGCTTTAATACCTTCTATTAGCTTTTCACCAAAGCTGAATGGTCATTTTTGTTTCCAGAAACCAGTTCAGAAAAAGGATTTTTAGCTCTAAATATTATAAGCAGGTAGTGGGGATATGTAACAGGGTTCTTACTATGAGAAACGCGAATTTGGTAATAATGACTACATTGTTCCATGATTTGTGTCCTGCACTGCACCCTTCTCTTCCTTCGTGCCTCAGGATATTTCTTTATAGTTTTCAGGTACACTGTGCGCTTTGAATAATGGTTCCAGATCCCTAGCAGACCTGTAGCTTAACCAAAAATGGTGCCTGCATGTGCATATTCACAAAAACTGATTTAGGATGCTCAGATATAATCAGTGCTTTCCATAAAGGAGGTAGCCTAATGTGTTCCATACCAATAAATATTGAGCTAACGTCATGTGAGAATCAGTATTTCAATAGTGTTTTCTCTTTCAGATGAGAGAAAAAGATCCAGTGAAAGGAATGACGGCTGCAGATGACTAACATGACTTCTTCCTTGTGCACTGTAGGTATCAGGAAAGTTTGACAAAACTCTGTATTACTGTATTTAGGAGAAAAAATACATTTGGGTAAGAAAGGACCCTGTTCATAGCTTCTGGCAGGCAAATCTGTGGTATTAATTGTTTTTATAATGAACCTGTTTCACTGGCTGGTCAACAAGTGAGTTTACTGTCTTGTTTCAAAACTATTCTAAGGAAATGGCTGAGTGAAAAGTGTAAGAAAAATGTGTTAGAACATTTTGTAGACTTTATTGCTATTCTTATTTCTGTAATGCATGTGTTACTTTCCATGACTCGCAGAGAAACTTTTGTCAGTCCCAAAAGAATAAGTTGAGCCTGCAAATACTTAGAATACATTTGGAAATTGAAAATTCCTTGCAAGTATGCTTGGAATGTATTTCTTCCATTGTTTGTTAACAGTATTTACTAATGGGCCAAGACCTGGAGCAACACCTGCCTGTTGCAGGAGAAGCAGTGATGACAATTTTAAAGCTTTTGTCTTGTTTTCACCTTCTTTTGCTATGAGTATGCTAACTTAGCAGGGGAGGGACTATTGTACGGGAAAGCATATATGCATTTGCCTTTGTTGGCCAAATCCCTAGGCTGTATTCTATATAGCATGCTGGATGATAATGCGTAAGCAGTGCTGAGAATGTTGAACCTTATTCTGTTCAATCGTGTCATCAGTTTGGGGTTTGGTTTTGGTGGATTTTTTCTTAGATGCTGTACAAAAATGTGGTGTAGTATTAGGAAAGTAAAAAGGTGAGGAGAAAGAAGAGATTGTCCATGTATGTAGAGAAGTCCAAGTTATTAGCCTCAACTTTTCTAGGACACTAAAATGCCACCCTAGCTATCCTTGGAAAGAATGGGATTGGGCAGAACAACAGCCTTTTCAAGGACTGACTGTTTACTTCTGCTTGTCCTCCATTATCTGCTGGTTGTTTGGTCGTAAGTGGGGGAACACAAGGTGAGGGAGTGTCTGAAGGGGTTGTCTTGCGATAGATATCTTTTAATTTCTAATGCAACTTAAACGTTTTTAGTTTCCTCTTCATTCTCATTTATGCTTGTTCCTAGAGAACTGAGTTAGTTGGTGGTCTTCTCAGTTGTATTGTAGGCTCTAGACTTGTAGATTGTTTAAATTGCAGTTTCTGATTGTCATTTTTAGGATATGTTGTAAATTCTGCTCTGGATTAGTGCTGAAATGTAATGATGCAGTGGTGTATTGCCATTGTCTGCACTGGTGACAGTGTGTCTCACGTCTGCTAGAAGGTTCAGTCTGACACTTCTTTTGGCACACTGCTTCCCAAAGTGGTTCTAAAATGTTTTCCTGTTGTCTCTTTATTTTAGTTTGCAAGACAGTCATCAGGAAGGCCCGGGGAATCCACACTCTTGACTGACGGACCATCTCTGGATCAAGCCTTTCTATATCCAATCGGCAGGCGATTTTAAATCTCCCATAGCTAATTCTAGATGCCCCTTAATATTGTGAGCAAATAAACCGTCTGGTACTAAGCACTCCAATGTTAGCACGTATATGAAGGAGGTAGCTCCTTGGAGACGTGTGACTTAGAGATCGCTGTATTTACGACTCCTCCCTCCTTTTTTTTCATTGTGTTCAGACCAATTTCCATGTGGCTCTGTTTGATTTCCAAGTGACATTTTTAGCTGAAATAGTCTTGTGATGTGGTGACTTAGATTTTTTTCTTTTTTTTTTCTTTTTTTTTTCCTAAGTGGGATAAACTGCCACCTTTGTTCCTGCCCAGCCCTTCACCATTCTTTGAATGTCTATTTGGAGAGGGAAACTGTCAGTATTTTAGAGTGCAAAACTATTCCGCAAAATGCTATGCTCTGATCCTTGCTTCCAGGGTAAGAAATTTAACGGCATGTAATCTGAATACATAATCAGGAGTAGCCAGATATAGTTCTTGGTCTGCAGTGAATCGTGATACGTGGCTTCTGCACGGCGTTACTTTGTTCTGTCTTAGCATACGTGAATTAAAGACTGCACAGAAGCTGCTGCATTCAGTGTCCCCATGCTAGGGCCTTCAGCACATAACTGTTGAGTTGAGTTTAGCGGTACGTGGTCCCTTTGGCCCATGTAGCTATGTTGTCCTTCAGCTGTATGTGTCAGTCTTACAAAATGATTATGAAAAGTTGCTTGACAGATGTTGCAACATCCTGGTTATTTACTAAGACGTCCCATAACTTACAAAGCTAAAATTATTTTGTCTAATAATAATGTGATTCTTCCTGGACAACCCTGGACAAATTGGAATGTAGCAAAAGCTGGTGTACAAGTAAAGTCTTGGTATCTGATTATATCCAGGTGCCTGGGTCGGTGGTTCTGCTCAGCAATAATACTCTTCCATCGCAAGACTGACTAAAATATCTCTTTTCATGCTATAAAAAAGCCACCTGCAGTTGTTTTCTAGGATATCTGTCAGTTATTATATATCACAAAGGATACTGTTAAACAATGTAAAGAGCTCTGGTTATTAAATGAAATCAAATATTTACTGTAACTATCCTTATGTTGATATCAGCTTTAGACAATCAAATAAGCAGAATAGAATCAAAGAAATATTGCTTTATTAAATACATATGAGGAAAAAAAACAATTTTTTTTTTGCTTATGCCTAAGACCCAATGTTTGATTTCTTTTTTTTTTTTCCTTTTTTTTCCCAGTAGTAGTCACTTCATTTTCCACTTCTGTATTTGGTGGCACTAACACGAAATACTGAATGCCAAACACAGTCGTGGGTGTATCGCCACTTTTGAGGAGTCTTGGCATTCCGTAATACATCCGACTCCTTCAGCCCTTCACGTTCCTGCAAGCAGGAGATCCTGAAATGATCCCATGCTGTGCTGAACAAGTACGTGCTGGGATCTGAACTGTTTTCAGCGCGAGGGAAGATGAAGCAAGCTCTGGAGGGAGAGGATGGTGTTTGGTTTCTGGGGAGGGGGCAGTTTATCCCTTTATTTTTTAGTTTGTTATTTTGCCTTACTCATGTCTAAGTGCAATAAGCTCTGAATTGTACCAGTAACTCTGGCAGGCTCTTCTCAGTGACCTCAGACGGTTTTGCGGGGTGGGGTTTGAGGGATTTTTAGCAATCTCACCAGGCAGAAGTAAAACAAATTTGTTGTAAAATAGGTGAAGAAACTAAATTTTAATCTGTGAGGCTATTTGGGACCAGGATGTTTCATGGCATCTTCTATAGCTGTTCAAGAAGTATTACAGGAGTGTAGGGCCCCACTTATAGTTTGTTCAGTTTAAAGTATTTTTAACTGAGAATTTATGCACTGATTTCCGTTTGTGTTTGTCAGTTACGTTTTGAGGGATTCTTACACTTGAGGACAACCTGAGAACACACACAGCACACTTGTTCTTTCAATTTGTGTTATCCAAGAGGCTTTCTGTCTGATGACACTAATCGCTATGGAAGCAGATTGTAACATTCCACTGTGCAAACCTTTTTTTCTTTTTTTTTTTTTTTTTCTTTTTTTGATCCTCTGATTTCAGAGTAAGAGCTTTTACACAAAGCTTTCCTGATTAGTGGAAAAAACTTGGGGGGGTGGGGGTGGGGGATAATAATAATAATGCAAGAACTCCAGCCTGAATACTTCCCTGCCCCTTGCTTTTTTTCCTTCTGATTTAATCCACAGTGAAAGCATCCCTCAGCCTTGGGGTAGACAAATCCTAGGATGACCGTTCGGTCTCGATGCTTGGTTCCTGCTAGCGAGCATAGCGAAGATCAGGCAGCGTTAATGACCTGGCTGTATTTTGGCTTTTGGTTAAGAGCCCCTTGGCCTGCTGGCTCCTGGCGGGGCGACGGCCAGGCTGTGGCTGTTGGGGGGCGATGGTTGTGCCCCGGCCCTCTCCCCTCACCCGCGTTGGATGGGTTTGGGGTGCGATGGTCGTGCCTCAGCCCTCTCCCCCACCACACTGGGTGGGTTTGGGGGGCGATGGTTGTGTCCCAGCCCTCTCCCCTCACCCGCGTTGGATGGGTTTGGGGATGACGGTTGTGCCTCAGCTCTCTCCCCTCACCCGCGCTGGGTGGGTTTGGGGTGTGATGGTCGTGTCCCAGCCCTCTTCCCCTACCCGCGTTGGGTGGGTGTGGGGATGATGGTTGTGCCTCAGCCCTCTCCCCCCACCACACCAGGTGGATTTGGGGGGGCCGAGGCTGGGACCTCGCCTCAGGGCCGGTTTGCTGGGGGGCTTGTCCCCCCCTTCCCACACCGCACCTCTCTGGGTTCATCCCCGCTGGGCCTCCCCGCCACGTTCTGATGGGTTCATCGTGCTCTTTCCTTTGGCGACACACACTTTGTAGAATGGGTTAGATTATCTCGTTGTTTCTTTAAATGTGAGTTTGTGCCTTTTTTGTCTCCTAATCTTCCAATACCGGCATATTGGAAACGAAATCTAATAAAATACTAGACAGACCTTCACGCCTCCGCCTCCTTTGTTGTGGGAGCTGGGGGGAGTGGGGGGGGGG